TTTTTTTTTTTTCAATTGAGACAAAGTCTTGCTCTGCAGCCCAGGCTGGCCTTAATGGTAATCCTCCTGCCTCAGTTCCTCAAGTGCTGGCATTTCAGGCATGCACCACCACACCAGGCTTTGTAGCCTGTTTTTTTTTTTTGTTTTGTTTTTTGCTAGTTCTCCATTCTGAGAGTGTATGTATTCCAGGCTCATTTTGTTCTGTTTCTTCACAGGGAGGAAGTTTCATCCTGTCCTCTGTGGGGAGCCAGCTGATCAGATTGATTCCCGAAAGCTCAGGAAAGATTCACCAGCACGTGCTTCCCCAGGGCCAAGGCATGCTCTCAGGGATTGGCCGGAGGGTTTCCTCCCTTTTCGGGATTCTGTCTCCCGCTAGTGACCTCATGGTGCGTTTATAAAGAGCTGTTTGCACTGAGTTGAAATTTCCTGTGACAGTGTTATTGGTCTCATACGGTGTAAGCTGTTGTGTTGTTGCTTTTGCTTTTTAATTTTATGTGTATGAGTATTTGCCTGCATGCATTTTTATGCACCTCATAGTTGTCTGATGCTTGCTGAGGCCAGAGAGAGCATCGGATCCTCTGGAACTGGAACTGGAGTTACAGTTGGGAGCTGTGGGTGTTGCAAATCAAACCTTGGTTCTCTTGAAGAACAGTAAGTGTTGTTGACCACTGATCCATATCTCCACACTGTGAAAATTAATGAGTTTTTTTAAGGCTGAATTTGAAGTGTGAATAACTCACATTTCCCCTCCCGGCTGGCCTGGAGGAAAGGCAGGTATAGCTTGGATCTGTCAGCTGTTTTGGTTCTCCTGTGAAGCAGAGCCTTTCTCTCCATTGTGCTGGAGAGGCTGAGGTCGTGAGCGCTGAGATGGACCTGTCATACTCGAGCCTGAACTAGATAGAGCTCAGCTCCTCAACACACTGCTTGTTCCGCACCTCAGGCGACTTTGCCACTTGGTCCCTTGAGTGTTCTTAAACCCAAAACAACATGTTTAAACACAGATTTATCGTCTTTTGACAAGTCTTTCTGCTAATGGCACTGTCCCTTCTCTCGAGTGACCTGGTTTGCAAACCATGGTGCTCGTCACTGCACTTCCCTCTCTTGTACAGAGTGGCTCCCCAGCTGCCTCTGGGTGCATCCATCCCATTGTCTGCTCTTGTCCACAGGCCAGCACAGCCTCATTGTTGACCTTTCTTGACGTATAACAGGAGAAACGGAGGCAATGGGGGTTTAAGTTTAAACTAAAAACTACTGTGTGCATTCGGCTTCAACACACCCATCTTGCAGAAGTCTACTCATGCAAGCAATGCCCGTGTCTGATGAGTGTCCTCTCTGCCAGCTCCCTTCAAATTCTAGGCCCAAAAGCCACAAGCAACACCTCCTTGACTCACCAGTTTATAGACACACTGAAGACTCCACTGTGGTTTCTCTAAAAGTTCTTACATACTAAGACGCTGGTCCTCTGAGGACTCGAACTTTCCCATCTCAGCTCTGCTCTCCCCAGTCCTTTCCTTTGGAGGTTCAGGGGTTCTTCCTCCAGAGCCTGAGGAAGGTTTATAGTCAGATAGCTGCAAAGCACATGAAGTTGGAGTCAGTCTCAATGTGACCCCTCCTCTCTCCACAGCTGGCCAGTGTTCTCTGGGACAGCGCAAGATCCAGTTTCTACACCCTGACGAGTTCAAACATCAGTAAATGGGAACTGGATGATTCTTCAGAGAAGCTGGCTCACAGCTGGGACGTGCACAGAACCCTGAAGGAAAGCATTACTGATGCTATTTGGGTGAGGAACTGGAATGGACATTTCTGGTTTGGTTTACGGTGTTCAAATGTGTTATTCCTTCTTTGTTTTTTGTTTTCTTTGAGATAGGAACTCACTCTGTATGTAGCCCAGGCTGGTTATGAACTCTTTGTAAGTCCTGCCTCAGCCTCCCAAGTGCTGAGATTATATGTAGGTCAGCATAACCACAGCCAGCCCATCTGCCTCATTGAAACACATTTCCGTGACGCGCGCGCGCGCGCGTGTGTGTGTGTGTGTGTGTGTGTGTATCAAATAAGTATAACTGGGTGTTCAATTCCTATCTGTAATAGAAATCAGTGATTAACTTGCTAATTTGTGGGGTGGCCAGATATAAGACCGAGTCTCGTGTAGCTCAGTCTGGCCTTATACTCACTACACAGTTGATCTTCTGCCTCCACCACCTGTGTTCTAGGAATATGAGCATGTGCCACTATACCCAGGTGACCTCCTGTCACCTGCCTGTCTTGGAACTCACTATGTAGACAGAGGGATCTGCCTGTCTCTGCCTCCTGAGTGCTGAGATTTAAGATTGCACCACCACACCTGGCTTGGTGTGCTAGATTTTAAATGTTCGTTGCTCGTGGTTGCAACACTTTGCCAGGTACTGGGTGTTCATTGGGCAGAAAGAAAGACACAATAATTACGGGGAGCTTACACTTTGGTATTTCCATTTAGGGATCCGAAAGCAACTACGAAGCCATTAAAGAAGGGGTCCACATTCAGTATTTGGACTTGAAGCAAAACTGGTAAGTAACTGATTTGTCCTAAAGAAGTTGGATAACACATTGGCATCTCTGTGGTGACGTGTGGCCTGCTGCCTGCTCTGCTGACTCTGCTCGTCTCTGCTGAGCCTCCGAGTGGTCTCTTCCGTGGTGCTGCCTGCTGCTGTGGGAAATGGACACACTCCTCAGCTTTAAATGGGGTGTCCCTGCCACGTTAGACTTGAGGCTTCTGGGCTTGCACAGCTGGACCAGCTCTGTCTGTCTTTATTCCATCTTAAGGCAATGCCAGCACTTTGGTCTCTCTGGTCTCCATGGAGACATCAGTTTCTCATCACTGTCAGGAAGGAGCTCTTGTGTCCCATAGTCAGCGGCTAACTGATGTCATGAAGCTGTGTCCCTCCAGCGCAAGCCAGACTGGGCATGGTTTATGCTTGGAGTGAGTTTTCTCTTAGCAACAGTTCTCAGGCAGGGCCTGGCAGCTCAGTTTGTGGTCTCAGCACTCAGGAAGGCTGAGGCAGGAGGGTTATGGTTCCCAGCCAACAAAAATTGAGACTTTTTTGTTGCCTTATTTTAACTCCATGCCCCAAGTAATGGATTTACAGGTGTGCACCACCAGACATGCCTGACTTTCTATGAGTCTTGCTAAGTGCATATAGTCATCTTTGTTGTTGTTGTTGTTTGTTCTGGTTTTTTTTTTTGTTTGTTTGGGAAGGTTGCTGTTTTTGAGTTAGGGTTTCTTTGTGTAAGCTTGGCTCTCCTAGAACAAGCTCTGTAGACCAGGCTGGCCTCTAACTCAGAGATTCTACCTACCTCTGCTTCCCGAGTGCTGGGACTAAAGGCGTGCTCCCACCACCGCCGGCACATACAGTCATCTTGACCATAGTCATGACATAGAACAGAGCTGGGGTGTTGCTCGGTGGTAGGGCAGTATCTACATACACAAGGCAGAGTTTGAACCTCAATAAGAGGGGTGGTGGAGAAAGAGATCACCTTTCCTCCAAAATTCCTTTGTGCTCCTGGAACTCATTGATCTGTCTGTCTTCAAAGTTCTGTCTTTTTCAGAATGGTGTATAAATAAATCATGCAGGGTAAATAAAACATTCACATGGTAGATTTAAAACTCATTCAGAAAAAATTTTTTTCCTTTTAGTTTTTCAAGTCAGGGTTTCTCTGTGTAGCTCTGGCTGTCCTAGAACTCACTCTGTAGATCAGGCTGGCCTCAAACTCATAGAGATCTGCCTGCCTCTGCCTCTGTCTCCCAAGTGCTGGGACTAAAGGCTGCATCACCACTGCCCAGGTGATTCAGAAATTTGTTTCATGACTAAATATTCACGAGAGAGAGAGAGAGAGAGAGAGAGAGAGAGAGAGAGAGAGAGAGAGAGAGACAGACAGAGAGAGAGAGAGAGACNGAGAGAGAGAGAGAGAGAGACAGACAGAGAGAGAGAGAGAGACAGAGAGAGAGAGAGAGAGAGAGAGACAGAGAGAGAGAGAGACAGAGACACCAGGATTTATCTCCTCAGTGGTTGAAGACTTTGGGTTATTTTCAGGTTGGCTCCTGTAATAAAGCCGGTATAAACATTTGCATGAAGGTAATTATGAGCATATTTTCTCCCTTGGGTAAATATGTAGGTACAGGGCTCTACCATACATGGTGTGTTTAATTTTGTAATAATCTGGCATACTGTTTACAAAGAAGCCTACAGGGTTTGGTGGCACATACCTTTGGAGCTCTGAGAGTTCCAGGACAGCCAGGGCTGTGTAGTAAAACACAGTCTCAAAGGGAAAAAACAAAACAAAAAAAACACATTCAGCAAGCCTGTCTTTTTCCCCCTCTCGTCTAGTGATGGACTCCTGGTTTTGGCAGCAGCATGGCACCTGGGAGACAGTCCCTGTCTCGTTTATTACTCTCTGATAACGGTGGAAGACAGCGGTAACCAAATGTCAGATACGATTACTGTAGAAGTTACTCAGTACAACCCACCTTTCCAGGTAAGTAAAATTACACAGATGCCATAACACATCAAATTCCTTCTCTGACCATTGGTGTCTTTTAAGGTTCACTTGCAAGATTTGGAAATACTTTCAGATATTATTGATTTTTTGTTTTTCCGTCTTACTTTCTGGTCCAGTCCGAGCTAAAGAAAGATGACAGTTGAAGGTATCTAGCAGCCGGTCCTCTGACCCTCCTGCTGTAGCTCTTTATTGAGTAAAAATGAAATTTGATGGTGAGGTTTATGGTGAAATACTTGGATTCAGATTTTAATTTGTTGTTTGAGATGTGTAACCCAGTCTGACTACATAGACAAGATCTTTCTGTCTCATCTCCCAAGTTGTTGATGTTATTGGTCTGTGCCACCCTATCTTCCTGGGGTCCGATTTTGAGACGTTTATATTATAGAAAAATTCCATGTGCCTAGGGAATGACTATTTACATACTCTACAAAGTAAGTCTCTGGAAGACAGTTGCACTGATGTTGAGTATAAACAGCAATTATCTAGCTGGGCGGTGATGGCGCACGCCTTGATGCCAGCACTTGGGAGGCAGAGGTAGGTGGGTATCTATGAGTTCAAGGCTAGCCTGGTCTACAAGAGCTAGTTCCAGAACATCTAGGGCTGTTACATTGAGAAACCCTGTCTCGAAAAAGCAAAACAAAACACGTAACTGATATTTACCAGGAGACAGCTATGAAACATGTCATTTAGCCTTATGTAGCATCTAATTCTCTTAAATCATTTTTTTTTTCTTTTGGTTTTCAAAAAGACAGGTTTCTTTGTGTAACAGCCCTAGCTGTACTGGAACTAGTTCTGTAGACCAGCCTGGCCTCGAACTCAGAGATCCGCCTGACTCTGCCTCCCAAATGCTGGGATTAAAGGCATGTGCCACCACCACCTGGCTAATTCTCTTAAATCTTTATTATATATTTGAGACAGAGTCTCACTGTGTAGCTCTGGCTTACCCTGGAATTCAGAGTGCTGCCTGCCTCTGCCTTTGCCTCTCAAGTGCTGCTGTTAAAGGTGTGTGTAACCTTACCTAGCCCTTTGCTTTTTTAATTTATTTATTGGGGGGTGTATTTGCATGTGTGTGCAGGTGCTTATAGAAGGCAGAGGCAAACGGATGTGGGACTTTGTGGGACAGAAAACCTCAGTCAACACCCCTGGAGCTGAAGTCACAGTTGATTGTGAGCCACCCAGCATGGGCTGCAGTGAACCAAACTTGGGTCCTCTGCCAAAGCAGAGCAGCAAGCTTTCTTAACCACAGAGCCATTTATTTCTCCAGCTACTAAGTCTTGAATCTTAATGTGCTTGCTTATCGAATCCCATAAGAAAATCTGTTATTCTTTTATTTCTAACAAGAATAAACCTTATCACGTGTTTCAGTTAAGTAGACTTTGGAAATCATAACACAATGTCATTTAAAAGTTTTCAGAAAGTGCAAAAAGAATGCAAAGAAAACAATTTGAGAGTAAAACCAGCAGTCTCACTTTAATGAAATGCTTTAAAAGTTATTTTAGGGGAATAGGGAGATGTCTCAGTGATTAGGAGCATTTGTTGCTCTTGCAGAGAACCCAGGTTTGGTTCCCAGGTGACTTATATCCACCCAAAGCTCCAGCTCAAAGGGATCCAAAACATCTGTCCTCTCTATCCTGCATTTATATGTACATATCCACTACACGCACACGCACATACACATTAACTTTTGTAAAATTTTAATACTTCTTTAGTAATTGTTGGTGATTGTTAGTATTTCCTAATTTTGTGCCTAGTGAGTTCTTACTGTATTTCTTTCTCTGACTTTACATGTAAACAAATGAATTCAATTGTCTTATATTTGAGAGCTTGTGGGGGCCTCTCGAGCTTGCTAAATGCAAGCTTGTACCTGATGCCTGGTGGTAAAACGAAAGCCATTTGGGTGCAGTGACACACACTTTTATGGAGGTTCACACTTTTCTAGAAGTAGAGACAAGCAGATCTCTGTAAATTTAAGGTCAGCATAGGGAACTCCAGGGCACCCAAGGTACATTGCGAGCATCGCGAGACTGTCTCAGAAGAGAAGGGAGCCAGAAACAAAACGTTTTCTTTTGCACCTGCCAGTTTAAAAATAAATAATATAACATATTAGAGCTTTTTGTGTCTCATTTGTTACAAACTTCTAGTTATAATCCTTTTGTTTGCTTGCTTGGTTGCTTGGTTGGTTTTTTTCAAGACAGGATTTTTCTGTATAGTCCTGACTGTCCTGGATCTTAATCTGTAGACCAGTCTGACCTCAAACTCCGAGGTCTGCCTGCCTTTGCCTCCCAAGGTCTGAAATTAAAGATGTTTTATCCTACAACCATGCCTAGTATTTTAAAAGTTTACTAATTTGCAACTCAGGAAATAATTTCGGTAAGACAAATATGTTAGTCCATTTGGGCTGTTGCAGCAAAATTCCTAAGGGTGGATCATTTATAAGCTATAGGAAGTTCTGGAGCTTAGAGGTCCAAGATAAAGGTGCCAGCCTTTATGGTGCCTATTCCTAGTAGACAGAGCCTTCTTATTGGTATCCTCACATAGAGGTGAACAAAACTTCCCAGCAGAGCCTTCCCAAGACTCCACATGTTCACACATTTAGCAGTCGGCTTCTAGATTCCAGGAGGACATCAATGTCCAGGCCCAGCAGTGACTGTAAGCCTCTCCTGTCCTTGTGAATCGTCTTGTGTAGACTTTCACAAGGATATTCAGTGACTGAGAATTTTAACATTTTTTGTGGAATGGTGTCATATAAATGTAGTTGCAAAAATCATACAAATATTTTTGTCTTGAATCTTACAAACTATAATCCTAAATTTACCTTTCAGTCTGAAGACCTGATTCCATGTCGATTGATGGTGCCGAACTTTTCAAGCCAGATGACCTATCTTTATATGGAGAATGCTGTCTTTGTGTGCTCCACAGGAACTGGGAAGTTTTCTCTTCCTCAGGAGAAAATTGTCTTTGATGCACAAGGTACATGGATGGCTGCTTTAGATGAAAAGATAGTTCTTTCTCCATTGAATTATATTTTCACCTTTGTCAGAATTCAGTTAATCCAATGCATGTGGTGTCTGTCTGGACTCTGTTCTCCTTTTATACATGTCTATCCACCCACCAGTATTATACAGTCTCCAATAAGTGATTCTTAGATCCAAGCGCTTTGGCCAGCTCATTAGCCATTCTTGGCAGTTTCTCTTCTTTTATTGTACATTTGGCCTCTGGTTTGCCACTTGCCCATTAGAAATATTAATACTGCTGCAGTAGCTGAGTTCACAGCCACACTTGAATACCCAAGGGTGGGTAGAATTCACAAACTGTTGTCTTTATAGGCAAAATTAGTACCCCCCCCCCAAAAAAAAAAGGTTCCCCAGAAGGGACAAGAAAGTAAGAGCTAACTCGAGAGAAGTAAGTGCTCATCTTAGTTTGGGAGAGTGGCTCAGACGGGTTAGCATTCTTAAGCTAGTTTGTTCAGAACCCTGGCAGGAAAACCCCTGGGGACTAGCCTGCAATACAGACCAGACCAGTAGATACTGACAAGCATATAGTCCTACAGGACAGGGCCTGGGCCAGCCACAGATGGAGCCTAGGTGGTGGTCCACACAGAGGGACCAGTATAGTGGGCTGTTCCTAAGGCACAGAGTAGGCTGGCTATTGCCTGGACTGACCCCTATAGAAAGACCATTAGGCAGGAAGCAAGAGGATGCCACAGGGTGGAGATGCTGCCATTCTAGGTTTTACAGAACAAGGAATTTGGAGAGATTGAGGAGGGGTTTTGCTCACTGTTTTCTTGCAACAACAAGTTTTGTGGTTTTGTTTTGGGGGTGTTTGTTGTCTTGTTTTTGTTTTTTAGACTTTTATTTATGTAGGTACAGGGTACCAGTGGAGGCCAGAAGAGGGTGTAGTCTCCTGTAGAGTTATAGGAGGTTGTGAGCCTCCCAGTGAGGCCACTAAGAATTGAACTTTCGGGAGGCAGAGGCAGGCGGATCTCTGTGAGTTCGAGGTCAGCCTGGTCTACAAGAGCTAGTTCCAGGACAGGCTCCAAAGCCACAGAGAAACCCTGTCTGGGGGTGGAGTGGGGGGGAGAACTGAACTCTCTTGCTGAGGCAGCAAATGCTTTAATTGCTGAGTCATCGCCAGCCCAGTTTTTCTTGTCTTTAATGTGGAAAAGACAGTCTGCTTTATTGAGAAGCAACAGGGTCCTGACAGTTTTACAATTTAAAAGCTGAGACCTAAGTAGAACATAAACTCTGGGGGCTGAGGCAGGTGATGGCATAAGCCTTCTAATGTAAACCAGCCCGATCAGCATAGTAAGGCTGTCTCTACAAAGAAAGTAAAAACAAATTAAATTCATTTATGCCATAGCATTTTAATTTTAGGAGTCATAAAGGAAGAAGGATGCGGGTCATCGGAAATCTGAGAAATTGTTCCATGCGATCTTTGTGCATTTTGTTCTCAGGAGATGGCATTCTGGGCGCCGGCTCCTGTGGAGGTGTTCCGATCTTTTTTTCTAGGAACAGTGGTCTGGTGTCTGTCACTCCAAGGGAAAATGTGTCCCTATTAGCAGAGGACCTGGAAGAGTCTTTGGCCTCTTCAGTTGGTGGGCAGGGCAATGAGGTAAGATCACTTGACATTTGCTGTGTTTCACACCAGAAAGGGCAGTTGAATTAGAAAGGCTGGGGTGAGATCTGCTCTCTGTCCTTTTTCTCAGAACCGCTGTTCGTTGTCTCAGTCCCGTCTGCATTTTCCTCTGCATCTCTGAGCCAAGTGAATGTGTTGCTGTCTTCAGGTCATAGTTTTAGAACAGGGGTTTGGAACAACTTATGTGCGTCCTCCTCTCCTTTGCCTTGCTGAGGAGTGGGGTGACAGATGGGTGTTAGAACGGTTCATTCCAGGGAAGCACCAGTGACCTTCCACACAGTACACATCCGGTGATTCTGGAGCTTTGACAGCATCGATTTTATTTGCTGAGTCGATTGTTGCACACACTGTCCGGCAGCTTTGGAAGGTGCCTGTTGAGGTAGTTTTTCCTATGGTCACTATCCATAAGGACTTGTCCCCAGCTGGGCTAGGCAGACCTGAATGCCACTTTACATGGGCTCTGGGGATCAAACTCAGGTTGCACAGCAAATGTCTTTATTCACTGAGACATCTCGGTGACCTCAGCAGATGAATTCTGAGAGGCTTGATGAGATTAAAAATAAATAAATAAGAAATCAACTTTCACCAGGTGTGGTAATGCACATCTTTAGTCTCAGCACTTGGGAGGCAGAGGCGGGTGGATCCCTTTGAGTTCAAGTCCAGCCTGGTCTACAGAATGAGTTCCAGGACAGCCAGGACTGTTGATACACAGAGAAACAAAACAAAAAGCAAAAGCAATCACCTTTCTATTATCTTGAAACCTGAGGTAACTTTATCTGTAAGTTTGGAATTTTTAAACAGAAAAAATCTTTCAGTTACAGAAGGCTAAAATACAGTATCTTCTACTGAAATACGTGACAGATTCACATGTTTGGTTTTGTTGATCATAAGACACTGGCTTGTCTGTCATCTGTTGACAGAGTTACTGTGTAGTTCAGGCTAAACCTCTTGCCTCAGTCTTCCGAGCACTGGAATACCAGACATATGCTGCATGAGTAGTCTTTGTGTAGACCGTTTTCTTAGTTAAAAATTGAAGTGAAAGAAGCTGGTTGGAATTCCAGCGCTTGAGAGGAAGAGGCAGGTGGGAACTCTGAATTAAAGGTCAACCTGATCTACATAGAGAGTTCTAGGCCAGCCCAGGCTGCATAGTAAGACCCTGTCTCAAACACAGCCTAGAGAGAAGGCTAAACAATTAAGAACATTTGTTGCTCCTGTAGAGGACCTGGGTTCAATTCCAGCACCCACAACCATCTGTTACTCCAGTTCTAGGAGATCCTATACCCTCTTCTGACCTCTGGGGACAGCACACACAACACATGTGTACACGTGGATATATATGCAGTCACTCACACGTGCAAAATTAAAAAAAATTGATTTTAAACCAAGAAAATCAATCGATTTGTCAGTTTCTACAGAGTGTAATGTATTTGAACTCTTGCTTCTGATGGTGTGTTCTAGATTGGTGCTGCTGCATGCTCCTGGATTTGTTCTGTACTAGTCCATCTCTTGCAGTTTTCCTGAGTTCTGCTTAGCTGTGTCCTTCCCATGTTCTTAATGCTTATTGTGATAAGCATAGGGACAGTGGGGTCAAGCGCTGAGTCACCTGCCTTTTCTGTAGGGCTTTGATCCATCTGTGAGTGTGGCGTACCCTTCCTTCAACATGTGCGACTCTTCCTGTGCCCAGTTCTTGGAAGCAACAGTTTGTTTTCTGTTTTGTCTTGTAGAGTATGGTTTTTGAGACCACAACAAAAAATGAAACTGTAGCCCATGAAGATAAGACAAAACTACTTAAGGCTGCATTCCTACAGTACTGCAGGTATAGCACAGTCTTGTTGTTTTAAGATCTGTTTTAGAGCTGGGTGGTGGTAGCGCACGCCTTTAATCGCAGCACTAGGGAGGCAGAAACAGGTGGATTTCTGTGAGTTCGAGAACAGCCTGACCTATAAAGTGAGTTCCAGGACAGTCTCCAGTCTCCAAAGCTACCTGGAGAATTCCTGTCTCAAAAACACAACAAACAAAAATAAAAAAAGATTATGAATCAGCCAAGTGGTGGCGCACGCCTTTAATCCCAGCACTCCAAGGCAGAGGTAGGCAGTTCTCTAAATTCAAGGCCAGCCTGGTCTACAAAGTGAGTTCCAGGACAGCTAGGGCTGTTTCAGAGAGAAACCCTGTCTTGAAAAACCAAAAGAAAAAGAAATATATATACATATATATATTTGTGTGTTGGGGGTAGTGTTCATAGAACCCATAAAAGGGCATCAGATTCCCTAGAGCTGGAGTTACCTGATATGGGAAATGTGAGTGGTGGGAACCCAGTCCAGGTCCTCTGCAAGAGCAGCAAGTGCTCCTAAATATGTAAACCAGGCTGGTCCTCCTCTAGCGCGGGAATTACAGGCATGACTGTTATGCTCAGCAGGCACAGCACATTTTAAAATCACAGCCCACCTTATGTGTGTTTTTCCTGACGCTTACTGTGCGTTGGTGGGTGGTGAGAGCTATCTGATTATCTGAATATGGCATCGCAAGGGCCCCACCCTACGTAGATCTAACATCAGGTCTAACAGCCTCCCCAGGAAGCAGTGACCATTAAAACTGGCAGTCCTAAAGACGGAGGACAAAATGTCTTTTAACACATCCGAGCAAGTAAGTTGCAGATGGAGTCATATGGGTGTTATGAAAGAAGTAAGCCTACCCCTTAGCTGGGGTTCAGTGACCACAGAACCTAGTGGTTGCTCAGCCAAGCTCAGATTCTGCAGTTTGGCTGTTGGAGGTCAGGTCAGGTGGCAGTTGGCCAAGTCCAAGCTGGGCTCTCATTGTGGCCAGATTCCAGTCTGGCTGTGTTGTGCCTGGGATTCTCATATTTCTAGGGCCTTGGCTGGCCAGCTCTTTGCTTCCTGTAGCTTCTGATCGCTGCGTTGACATTTGAGACAGGTAACCATTTGTGGGCATCTGATGATTTGCAGGCTATAGAGCAGTAGCCCTGGCCTCTTCCCACTGGAAGCCAGTGGCCCTTCCCCTGCTGTTACAACCACCTTGTCTCCAAACACTGGCAAATGCCCTGAGTCAAACATAACATAGAGCTTTTAAGTATTGTCTTTATTTTTTTTTTACTTAGTATTGTTTGGTTTTCATTTTAATTTATTCAAAAAATACAAATACAGATGTTTTGTTGATGACAGTTTGGACAAACAACTTGTGTAATTATTGGTCAGGTCTTGCACAAGTATCCTGCAGCCTGGAGTAAAGACTGCTTCAGCTTCAGCCTGGCTGCTACCGTTTCATGACCTTTAGCAGATGAGTTACCACCTATCCAGAGAGCCTCTGGAACCTAACTACACAGCATCCTGTCCACTCCACTATCTCACTGGCTGTCTGGGTTGTTTGTGGAATGCAGGATTCCTAATGTACTAGAGGCACAGCACCGTTAGAACTGTGAGGGCTAGGTACTATGGGCGTGAACCTGCAGCAGAGGTGTTCTAGGTACTGTGGGCGTGAACCTGCAGCAGAGGTCCTGGGTACTGTGGGCGTGAACCTGCAGCAGAGGTGTCCTGGGTACTGTGGGCATGAACCTGCAGCAGAGGGGTCCTAGGTACTGTGGGCGTGAACCTGCAGCAGAGGTATCCTAGGTACTGTGGGCGTGAACCTGCAGCAGAGGTGTCCTGGGTACTGTGGGCGTGAACCTGCAGCAGAGGTATCCTAGGTATTGTGGGCGTGAACCTGCAGCAGAGGTGTCCTGGGTACTGTGGGCGTGAACCTGCAGCAGAGGTCCTGGGCTCAGGGTCACATTTCCGTTTATTATCAGCATGCCTGATGCCACTTACACGCTTTCCTTCATCAGCAGAGTTGTTTAACAATTGAATAGACACTTGTGAAAGTCTTGGCCAAGCCTTGCCAAGTCTGCCTCTTCCAAGAGCTGTGAGGCTTTGGCAGGACAGTCACTGATCCTGGCCCTGTTTCTTCCTTTGTGCCTGGTTGAGAAGAGTGAAGGATCCAGTTTGCCTAGCGTGTCTTGGTTTTGAAGAAAGTATTTTTTTTTAAGCATTTTAAAAAAAAATGACAAGTTCTCAGGTCCTGACCTGCCCTCCCACTCAGTGGTGCAGGGTGGCTGCTCATTCCCTCAAGTATGTATATATAGTATTAGGTTCTAAGCTTGTCTGGCTGCCTTGCCAATGATCTGCTGCATTCCCTGTTCTGCCCAGGTGGGGGCGCCACTAAACAGTGCAGTATGCTTTATGACCTTGTTCTGTTGCATGGGTCAGTCTTCCTAGAAAGATTTGGGTTACTTCGTCTTGCTCATATTTCTCTTCAGTGACAGTCTGTTAAGTGTACATGATAATGCGGCCAGCAACTGGAGTCTTTATTTTGATTTCTTGTGGCTACCAGAACAAATTACCACAAGCTCTATGCTGATGGGACTCCTGTCCAACATTACAGAGCCAGTAGGGACATGCACCCCCTGGAGGGTCTAGGGGACTTTTGTGCCTCTCCTTTCTGTTCATCCTAACAGCCGTAGCCACTGCTGGGCTGGCTGGTGCTCCTTCCCTGTTTGCGTCTCCACGGTTCACAGCCTCTCCCAGTGTCTGTGCAGTCCTTACACCGCAGTCTGCAGGGCTGGGCCTTCTGACCTGTTCATCCTTCTGAGTGTAGGCCGCATTTACCTTCCTCTTGGCCTCATTAGTACCTGGTTCTTTTCTCGCGTCGGCCCAGTTTAGAAGAGTCCTCTTTTTTAGGGGCTCACTGTCCTTCAGGCTGTTGCTCTGGTTTTTTCCAAGACTCCTTTTCCTAGACCTGTTTCCACGTCTGCTGTAGCTTCCTTGCTAACCAGCAGGGCATGCTCAGTGGGTGACCACTCCCACTTCATTCTCCTTACCCCACCCCTGTGGCTTCTTCCCCCAGAGAGCTCTCCCTGCCCTCTGATGGGTTGGCTGCCCTTCCCTGTGCTTGGTGGTCTGTTAGTTACTTTTCTCTTTGCCGTGACTAGATAGCTGACAAGAAACAGTTTAGGAAAGGAGGGGCTTTTGTTGTAGCTTAGCGTTCGGGGGATCATTCGGGGGATCATTGTATCATTGGGGAGACACATGGCAGCAGGAGCAGTCAGGAAGCTTCCACAGCCCGATTTCACCTTTTCATTCATTCTGGAAGTTGAGCCTTTACCTCAAACTAGGACAATGCAAAGATTTGTCATAAGGTGATTCTAGACCTCAGGTTAACAGTATAAACCATCGCGGCTGCTGTCTGAGTGAGTACTGGCCAGCACATGTGCCTTCACTTGTTCAGTGGTCTGACTCCTGGCACCGTGGCCTAAAGCCTGGGGCTGGTTTCAGTCTTAACCGTTGTCTAGTGCCTCTCCTGTTAGAGCGTTCAGTGTATTAATGAATTCACAGCCGCACAGAAGCCTCCTTCTATGTAATGAGGTGAATCTTGTGACCGACCAGTCCTGTGGGCTAAAGCCTGTACATGGGTGTTAACCTCACCGTTAACTTTTCTATGGCGAGTCTGGGACGGTTGGCCTCTGCTGTAGCTTCGCATTCCCGTTTTCCTGCAGGAAAGACTTGGGCCGTGCTCAGATGATGGCGGATGAGTTCTTTTCCTCTCACACTGACTTGAATTCGGACGCTGAGTTAGACAAGGCTGTGACTCAGATCAGCATGGACCTGGTGGACGACTACCCAGCCTCAGACCCGCGGTGGGCGGAGTCAGTCCCCCAAGGTCAGTGGACGGAGCCGTGTGGTGGGCCAGGGGAGTGCTGCTTCTGCACCCCTTGATCACGCCGCAATCTTTATTTCCTCAAGTAGTTGCAGGTAACATTCCCTGCGGCACATCTGAGAAGGCTAGGACAGATGGCCCTATTTGTCAATTAGAGGGGCCTTTGAGAGGACACGGAAACATTGAAACAAGTCCTCGTGATTCTCACCATTTCATTTCTGAAAGGACTGGGTGGGTGTGTTAGTCAGGAAGAGAGCTGATAGAATATAGATATTTAAAGGGAATTTATTAGAATGGCTTACAGGCAGTGGCCCGGCTAGTCCAACAATCACTGTCTACTGACCGAAAGTCCAGGAAGTCAGTAGTTGTCAGTCCACAAGATCGGATGACTCAGCTGGTCTTCAGTGTGCCTCAGAATCCCAGGTAAGCAGGCTCTAGCGCAGTGAGAGAGAGAGCGCTCTGCCATTGAGAGCAAGAGCAAGCCGACTAAGAGCAAAAGCATCTTTCTCCTTGTCCTACGTAGGCTGCCGAGGGAGGATGTGGCCCAGATCTAGGGTGGGTTTTCTGACCTCAGATGCTCCATATTTAAAGTGGATCTTCTCCCTGTCTCAAATGATCCAGTTAGATAAAAATCCCTCACAGTGGCTTGGGTTTTTACTTAATTCCACGTGAGGTCAAGAATAGCCATCACGATGGTGGTAATAGGCATTTGGCACTCACTTGCTTCAGAGTAAACAGCTTTGGCATACTCCATGCATTTGGCTAGTAGAACCTCCCAAGAGTTAGAGAAATGCTTGGTATTCAGAAGCGAGCATCTCACATCCCCTGCCTGTCCCAGGTGACTACCCCCTTAGGCTGCTCTGCATTCCCAGTTACCAGACAGTGTCTCAGGTACAAGTTTCTGCACTAGGGATATAGGGAGTTTCCTTGCTTTTTTTTCTTTTAGCCAAACCATACAGTGGCTAAACCAGGGCATGCTTTCTGTTTCGAGTAAGTACAGTATCTGCCTGGCTAGATTTCCCTCTGCATTTAAAAACTCTTTTGAGGCAAGGTCTCCTTTTGTAGTGTGGGGTGTCTCTAGAACTTACCAGGCTAGCCTTGAACTCAGCATTCTCCTGCCTTAATTTTCCGAGAGGTGAGATTACAAATGTGAGCCCCCACTGAGTTATAGATCCAATTTAAGACTCCTAGAGTGCTCTAAGTAATGTTTTAAAGGACTGGTGCCCTGCTCCCTTCAGATCCTCTTAGCTTGTCACTTTCTAGTAGCTACTGTTCCGAAAATCGCTTTGTGCTTATTCTGTACTCCTGTGTTCTGACAGAGGCCCCTGGACTGAGCAACACATCACTGATCATTCTGCACCAGCTGGAGGACAAGATGAAAGCCCACTGTCTCTTAGTGGACTTCCTTCACCAAGTAAGCATCAGCATAGGCTAAGGGGTGAGCCTGGCATTGTAGCCCAGTGAGATGCCCTGCCCTCTGGGGTATTTTCTTGGAGGGGCCTGGATTGTGTACTGATGTAAGCAGTTCCAGGGCCATGGCACACATGCGGATGTCAAAGGACAAATTTCGGGAGTTTTTTCTTTCTGGGGATCAAACTCAGGTGTCAGTTTTGGTGGCTAGTGCCGTTCCCCTCTGAGCTATCCCGCCAGCCCCCAAACAGCAATTTGTACAATCTTAAACAGATTTTCTTTTGTGTAAAAACATAGATGCTGGGTGGTGGTGGCACATGCCTTTAATCCCAGCACTCAGGAGGCAGAGGCGGGCGGATCTCTGTGAGTTCAAGGCCAACCTGGTCTACAAAAGCTAGTTCCAGGACAGGCGCTAAGCCTATATAGAGAAAATCCTGTCTTGAAAAACAAAACAAATAAAAAACCAAGTTTCCATTTCCCAAAGATCTGTATTCCAGAATAGGTCACTGGTACAAATCAGAAAAGCCATTTGATCCTTACGATATTTAAAGAGTAGTTTGAAAACCATGGCAGCCGTGGATAGGAATGGTGAGGAGACTCTGCCATGGATACCGCATGAGCATACCTAGTACACACTGGGAACAGTGGCACCCAGAGTGGCCTGTGGCAGGGAAGCGCCTAGAAGAATGTGGCCACATTTTCTGTGAGTACGTTCTGAGAGCAGGTGCTTATATTTTTCTCTCTTTTTTTGGTGAGGTCGGCTTGTTTAGACGTCTCAGCTCTTACCCAATCAGAGGGACACCCATGACAACCCGCCTGCTGCTCTGTGAACATGCAGAAAAGCTGTCAGCTGCGATCACACTCAAAAACCACCACTCTCGGCTGCCTGAGCTGGTGAACGCAGCTATCCTGCTTGCCCTGCACAAGAGGGAGTGTGAGGTCCCTTCCAGCCTGACTCCTGCAGACGTCTTCTTCCGAGAGGTCAGACACACCCTCATTCTTGTCTTCTGTGTCTTCTTTGCACTGTCTCGGAGGTGGACATCCCTGACAGGGTTGTTAAAGGACCTCGTTGAAATGTTGACTTGGGCTCCCTGCTTTATGAAACTGCTACTCCATGTCTCTTGTTTACTGTTTGCCCTCTAAGGGGGGCTATAATTGGCTGAGAAAGGGGCTCCCCATTTCCCATGTCTCTCCCGCTCCCTTATGTCTAGCACAGGAAGCTGTTCTTGTTCAGTAGGCTCCCAGGCTTGCTGCTGGGATGAAGAGCTGGGGCACTGCAGGAAAAAGATCAGAGTAGCTGTTCTCTAGTACATTGGTGGTTTCCCTTTGTCATAGATCAGATTCCTTTTTAAAAAAAAAAAAATGTTTTTATTCGTGTGTGCATGCACACAACACATAATGGCACACATGTGGAAGTTAGAGGACAACTTTCAGGAGTTCTGTCCTTCCACCATGTGGGTCCCAGGGGTCAAGCTTGTCATCTGGCGTGGCAGGAGGTTCCTTTACCTGCTGAGTCATCTCACTGACCCAGGTCAAGCTTCTGTGCGGCTAGCTATATCCCAGTGACCTCTGGAGCGCTGCTTTCTCATGTCCACTTCCAAGTAGCAATGTCATATTCCTGAAGGGTGCTAGTATTTTAAGAGATGGTTGCTCAGATCAGCCATGGAGGGAGGATTTTGCTATTGTAACCCTTGTAGAAAGTAAAAGACAATGGGCCTGGTTCTGGAGGTGCAGCCCCCACTTTACCGTTAACTCACTTTGGGAAGAGGCCTGGGACTAGTCAGGGCTTCATAAAATAGTACGAATTACTCAGAGACAGGCTGTGTGGGCACAGCATAGGAGCCGTGTTTCCTACCACTGAAGACTGAGGGTAAGAGTGTGCAGCCTTCTTATTATCTAAACGACAATAACTGTAAACAGTCAGACTTTCCTCGTTTATGTTTACTCTCATTGTTGTTGAGTCTGTTAACGTCTGTTGCGTGATGGGAAGGTTTACCTTACCAGGTGGGCTCCCTGTCCCTAAGAGGCTGGTGACTGTGGCTTCTCTGCCCTCAGGTGTCCCAGGTGGACACTATCTGCGAGTGTCTGCTGGAGCATGAGGAACAAGTCCTGCGTGATGTCGCGTTGGACTCTCAGGAGTGGGCAGAGGTGGCGATCCACGTGAATACAGTCCTCAAGGTACCACACGTGACAGTGGTGTCAGCAAACCAGGGTCCAATAGAGGGTGGGACATGACAGTGGTTTTCTTATGCCTGACCTAGTGAGGTGAAGACTGCTTGTCAAGTTCAAAAACTACAAGAACCTATATTTTTATGAATTATCGGGATTTTTGAGTATTCCCTTTGCATACTAGTAAGTTTATAAGTTTCTATAGTCTTGACTTTCTGTTGGGTAAAGTTTTTTTTTTTTGAAGAAACTTTTTTTCTTCTATCATTGCAGAGGTATTGGTGCTTGTTAACAGAGCTATCAAAATTTATTCATTTCTCTCGCCTGTTTCAGCCTCAGTCTTCCAGTTACCAGGGACAAGCACATACTACTACATCTGATTTCTGTTTTTTAATTATTCAAAGTTTGTTTATTAAATTATTAACTAAGGGGTTTCATTCAGTTTTACCTATTAGACTCTATAGTGCGCTCTCTCTCTCTCTCTCTCTTTTAACTTTCTGCTTTGGTTATAGTTTTCCAAATGAAGTTAAATCTGTGGAGTAAAACCAAACTTTGAAGGCAGGATCCACAGCGCTGAGCGCTTTTCTTACTTGCAGGCTGGTGTTGTAGGTCTTCCTTAGACACAGCCTCCACCAGAAGGAAATGGACCGAATTAGGGCCTTAGCAGCAGCCTGTTGCTTCCCGCGCCTGACGGTGCCTTTCATTCTCCCAGGACATGCTGCAGGCTGCCACTCACTACCGACTAAACAGAAGCTCCATGTACAGTCGGGAAGAACCGCTGGGGGAGGAACCGGAGTATGTGCCGTGGACAGGTACCGTGCTGGAGTGGTGACGGCCGTTCAGAGCATGCTCATGTCAGGCTGGCCTGGGAGGTGCTGTGCTGTTCCCTGGGGCAGGCTTGTGAGTGAGGCGAAGGAACAGTTGACGCGACACCTCTAGACTCACCGGGTCCCTTTGGTGTATTTATTGATCCCACTGTTACTTCTTTATCAGTGGGGTTTATGATGCATCTGTTAGGTTTTAGTACCAAGTCCTTCATAGAAACAGGTGCTGGCTTTGGAGGAATAGGCTCCATTTTATGTTCAAGTCATGGAGTAAGTGGGCTAGCATTAAAGGAATTGAGTAGGCAGAAGGATCCCGGCGACCTTTGTTAACGGAAATCTCCACTGAGAAGAAAGATGGGGTTCAACGAGGGCACGAGCAGGTATCACCCGAACACTGCTGTCTTCCTAGAGTAGTGAGGTAACCTAATTTTTAGGTCGTTGGTCTTCTCCCTACTGTCTTGGATGCTTTCTTAGGAAGTTACTTTGCGCACTTTACAGCTACAAGCGGTCCGTCCGGCATCCGTACAGTCATCATGCGCCAGCATGGGATCATCCTGCAGATGGTGTATCCTCAGGCCGACAGCAACCTCCGCGGCCTTGTGATGGAGCAGCTGGTGGCGCTGATCGACTGCTTCCTGGACAGTTACGTTTCCCAGCTGAAGTCGCTAGAGAAATCCACAGACCAGGAAAGATACAGCAGTCTGGAAGTGGAATATCTGCAGAAAAGATCGGAACTCCTCTCTCCCCTTCGTGAGTGTCTGCAGTTAGAAATGGCTGTGGGCTGCAAGACAGGTGGAGGTTGGAGAACTCGCACAGTGCAGTCCTGCAGAGTTAATCTACCTGTGAACAAAGACAAGGTCAGGCGCACTTGGCTAGCTCTGTGTTCATGTCATCGCGCTTTCTAAAATGACAGTCTGGTACAGATACCGTAGGAGGCTCAATTGGTTGGGGAAACAGTAAATTAAGTGGTGGCGATGCCCTTAGTCACTGAGTTCAGCTGGGCGTGGTGGCATTTTCTGAGTCAAAAAAACAAACTCAGCCCTCCGACCTTCACGTGAATAACTGGTTTAGAACAGCCTGGTAGTAGCTGGGGAAGGGCACAGGTGGCGCAGTGTGGTTGTTGAGCAGAAAGCAGTTTTCTTTCATAGCCAAGTTCAGGAAGGTTTGTTCTAGTGGGTAATGGAAGGCTCACCTGGGAGGTAGGGATGGCTCCAGGGTTGCATTTCCCTCTTTGGGAAGTTTGGGTGGATCAGTAATGGACATTGTTTATGTGGTATTGCTTGTTCTTCCTCCTGAAGTCACACTAGGCCAGTACCCATGGGCAGCTTCTCTGGCAGAGAAGTACTGTGACTTTGATATCCTGGTACAGATGTGTGAACAGACGGACAACCAGGCCCGACTCCAGCGCTACATGACCCAGTTCGCTGACCAGGTAAGCACACTGGTGTGTGGGGGTTGTAGACTATCACACTCTCTAAGGCTTTCCCTCTGCAGCATGTCGCTGTGGCTCTGGGGTGAAGAGTGATTTAGATGGGAAGATGCAGGCATGTTACATTGTCTTCGAGCACATATTTCCTCATGTAAAGTCATCAGTTTTCTATCTCTGTGATAAAATACCGTTACCAAGGCAGCTTAGAGAAGAGCTTGTCTGAGTTTAAGGTTCTAGAGGGTTCTGGTCTGTGATGCTAGAACAAATGCATGGCCATAAAAAGCGGAGGGCTCACCCACATCTGGACCCCCAAGCCGAGAGAATAGAAATGTGTGTGTCTTTAAATTCTCAAAGCCCACCCCCAGTGACATTTCCTTCAGCAAGGCTACCTCCTAGACCTACCCAAACAGTGCACTAAGTGGAGACCACCTGTCCAGATGCCCAAAACTGGAGGGGACAATCCCATTCAAATTACCACACAGATACTGAGAAATTTCCTGGCCTTTGAGAACTGTAAGCTTTCACTTGGGAGTTTTGTTTTGTTTTTAAGACGTACTCTCAGTCTGTGAACCAGGCTGGCCTGGAACTCGAGTCTAGCTTAGCCTCCCAAGTGCTAGAGTTGCAGGCACCAGCTACCAGTCCTGACTAACTTTCATTCTATTCTCTCCTTAAAGTGTAAGACCTCATAGGAGCAGGGACACGAGGGCTTAAGCCTTGAACGCATGCTCACAAGCAAGAGAGAACGTGCCTGTAGGGATCCCAGAGCACAGAGCCCAGAGCGCTCATGCAGCTTCCTGGTTCTTGACAGATACCTGTGTCGCTGCTGTCAGCGTGACTTAGATTGTCCCTTAATGAGCAGTTTATCCTGTGAGTTAGCCTTGTAAAAGCCTTGTCCCTCTACTAGTGAAGGAATTTTGTATAAAATTCAGACACTGCTACAGATCCCTCACAGTACAGCTGCAGCACCCAGAGGCAACCTGTCTGAGCGCATGCTGTCAAGCACGCCGTGTTGCTGAGTAGCCTGCAGTAGTATTTGTACTGATGTTGTCGTTACTGAGTCTGTGTGACAGGGCCTGTGTATTATGTATTGTGCAATGTGTTATATAGTTGTGCCTGGTGCTTTTGATCGGCATGACTTTTAAAAAATTATTTTTATGGATTCTTGTCTGTTGACATTTTCTATAGTTTTGCACTTTTTTTCCTCTTTTTCTTTTTTTTTCTTCTAGTTTTGCACTTTTTTCTTTTTCTTTTTTGATTTTTTTGAGACAGGGTTTCCCTGTATAGCCTCAGCTGTCCTGGAACTCACTTTGTGGACCAGGTTAGCCTCAAACTCATAGAGATCTGCCTGCTTTTGTCTCCAAAGTGTGGGATTAAAGGCATGTGCCATCACAACCTGGCTTTTTTCCTTCTCTTTAATGTGCTTACTAATTACTTTGTGCTATGAGTCCTATTAAGACATCACAGTTTGCTCATTCTCCGATTGGCTTCAGCTGCCTGCTTTTTATATTGTGAATGAGGCTTTTCTGCTTCTTACATCATGTAATATTGTAGTTGAATTTAAGATGTGTTTGAAAGTATGACACTAGAAAGAGATGCGCTTTTTGTCCCGGGCAAGTCTCCTCGATACTGTAGAGTTCCTAAACTAGGAGACCAAGTCTCCTCGATACTGTAGAGTTCCTAAACTAGGACTGTTTAGTGCTGCTTCCCAGTGATTCTCCCAGCACTCAGTGCGAGCCTTTTGGGGACGACCATACCAGATGACATTTGGGCTTATCTGGACTGCACTTTGGCACACTAGCTCGTGTGGTTATCTGTATAGAACTCCACCTTAAGGTGGCATTCTAGGATGTCGCCTCTTGGTGCTGTTGATAGAACTCCATGTGACGACTGAGGTACTTGTGTTGTCCCTAAAGGGAACCACCGGCTATAAGTGGCTGTCAATGGCTTGAGGTGTGCCCAGTGTGCCTGAGGAAAACAGGTTTGCTTTTGTTTTCCAAGATCGGGTCTCTCTCCTCATTGACCTAGAACTACTTTTGTAGATTAAACCTTGAACTCAGAGAGATCCACCTGCCCTTCCCTCCGAAGTGCTGGGAGTAAAACCACTATGCCCAGCTGAAAACGGGTTTTAATGTAACTAAGTTCCAATAGTGACATTCGGCAGTCTGCTCCCATGAGGGCAGTGGGGGCCCGTCTCCCTTTATTAATGCGGATGCCAGTGGGTTCTTCTCTTCTCTCTCTCGTTCTCCTTCTGTTGTTTAGTTAAAACAAAAGAAAATAATTTTCTGTCATGTTTGTTTATGAGTGTTTTGCATGCACGTGTATGTATGTGTAGCATGTGCGTCCCTGGTGCCCGAGGAGGTCCCTGAAACTGTAGTTATTGGTGGTTGTGAGCCACCATGTGGTCCTCTGCAAGAGCAACAAGTGCTCTTCATTGCTGAGTCAGCTCTCTAGGCCTCGCATCAGTACTTCCTAGCAGGACCCCTGCTGAGCCGGCCCGAGGGTTGTCAAGAGGGATGGTTGAGTTCGGGACCAGGAGTGCATTGTCCCATGTGCAACAGACACTAACTGTATGGAACACGTACTTTGTTTTGTTTTGCCTTTTAATCAAATGTATACGGATGTTTTGCCTACATGTATGTCTCTGTCACATGCATGCCTGGTACTAGAGGAAGCCAGAAGAAGGTGTTGGGTCACCAGGAATTAAGACAGTTGTGAGCCACTGCGTGGGTGCTAGAAATTGGACTTGATTCCTCTGTAAGAGCAGCCAGTGATTTAAATGCTGAACCATCTCCCCAGTCTCAACACAGACATTCTTAGAACATAGGAATTACCTGCTAAAAGATTCTGCAAGGTGGCTTAGCAGCAAGTCTGATGGCCTGCATTAGATCCCTAGGACCTACCTGGTAGAACAAGCTCCTCAAGTTGTCGTCTGACCTCCACGTGTGCACGGTGGCACGTCCATGTGTACACACAAGTGCACGCACACATACACAGATAAACAAATGTAAAATAAAAATTTGAAGATGTCTGTTTGGAAGTCTCTGAAAGGGACTTAGTAGCTTATGTTTTTAAAGCTGTTTTACTAACTGTTGATACATTCTTACTCTATTCTTTGTAGAATTTTTCAGACTTCCTCTTTCGTTGGTACCTGGAAAAAGGAAAGCGGGGCAAGTTATTGTCTCAGCCCGTTTCTCAGCACGGACAGCTGGCCAGTTTCCTGCAAGCCCATGAGCATCTCAGCTGGTTACATGAGATTAACAGTCAGGAGCTAGAAAAGGTAAGGTGGCTTGGTTATGAGAAGCACCTGGTTATGCAGTTTCAGCGTTTTTAATTAAAGTGTTGTTGATAGCCATGCAGCCTGGACTTTTTCTCACTGGAGACAGAGTCTCACTGTGTAGCTCTAGCTGACCTGGTCTAGTAGACCAGGCTGGCCTCAACTCACAGAAATCTAGTTGTTTCTACCTTCTGAGTGCTGGGATGAAAAGATAGGCCACACCTGACTTAAATTCTTTCCATCATTGTGTGTGTGTGTTCATATGCGTGAGCACTAGGTGGGGGTGGGGTGAGGTCAGATGGTTAGTTCTTTCCACCCTAGGTTCTAGGGCTCAAACTCAGGCGGCTTGGTGCCAAGTTCATACATCTGATGAGCCATCTCATAGACTCTCAAATAGAAGTTCTTACAGTATAGATATGCTAACTAGCCTTGTTTAACCTTTCCTATTGCATCTATATGTTTAAACTTCATCTTACATTCTCTGAATATATATAGTTAAGATGTGTCCAGGCTGGCCTCAAACTCACAGAGATCCGCCTGCCTCTGGCTCCCGAGTGCTGGGATTAATGGTGTGCGCCACCACCGCCCAGCTCTATTAATGGTTTGTTAACACATACACTTCCTGTCCAAACTTACTTTCTGATGCAGTGATGAGCACTATGACCAAGAACAACTTAGGGAAGGAGGGTTTGTTTGGCTTACACTTCCCAGTGGTCATTGAAGGAAGTCGGGACAGAAGCACAGACAGGAACCGTAGAGGAAAGTTGTTTACTGGCTTGTCTTCAGGTTCCCATTCAGCTACCTTATTATATAGCCCAAGCCCATCTGCCCAAGGTAGCACTGCCCACAGTGGATCCTTCCACATCAATTAGCAGTAGAGACAATATCCCAGCAGACACGCCCACGGGCCAGTCTGAAGATTGCTTCTTCCCAGGTATGTGTAGGTTTATGTCGAGTTGGCAAAAGTCTCACCAGCTGCCAGGCGGTGGCAGCAGACGCTTTTAATCCCAGCACTCGGGAGGCAGGGGCAGGTGGATTTCTGTGAGTTAGAGGCCAGCCTGGTCTACAGAACAAATTCCAGGACAGGCTCCAAAGCTGCACAGAGAACCCCTGTCTCGGTGAGGGGGGGTTAATCGCACCAGCATTCCTCTTAGTCTCTCATATCATTGAAATGATGTTGTCTTACTTCCAATACTCAGTTGTCAGTCACTGTTCTTGGTCTGTTGTAATTTTGAAAATTGCGAACATTTTAGTAGTAATTTTATATAAAAAGTCATTGGTCTTATTAACGACTTCTAGTAAAAATTCAAATCATGGTATCCAGGAAGGTGTCTCAGTAAAGTGCTTGCTACCCAAATGTAAGGACCTGCGTAGGGATCCTGAGAGCCCTGTGAAGAGCCAGACCTGCAGCGCACACGTGTAATCTCACACTGGAAAGGCAGAGATGGGCAGATCCCTGGAGCTCACGGCACAGCTAGCCTTACGTATCTGAGCTCCAAGTTCAGTGAGAGATCCTGCCTCAAAAAAAAACTGGAGAGCAACTGATGGCTACACCACGCTTCTCCGGCCAGCATATACACATACATGCATGTGCAAACCACAAACACATACACAACACTCAAATTCTGAGTACAGACAGTGCAAATTAAAGTGCTCGTGACAGAATGCTAAGCCCATACACAGTTGTGTGAAGCATGTATTTTCTAAGGCTCCCTTCCAGTGCGTGTCATGTCCGCTTAGTGCTTTGGCACTGACCCCAGGTAGGTACGCTGCTTACCGGTGTGTCTTCTTCCAGGCTGCTATGAGGAGAAATGCTACTTCAAGAGCATCTTATGGTGTTTTTCTTGTTTTGTTTATTGTAGGCTCATACGACACTGCTTGGTTTGGCAAATATGGAAACTCGTTACTTTGCAAAGAAAAAAACCCTTCTCGGCTTGAGTAAACTGGCTGCATTAGCTTCAGACCTTTCAGAGGACACGCTGCAGGAGAAGATTGAGGGTGAGAAGGGGGCAGAATGAGAAGGCAGGGTCAGTGCACTGTGACTGCCTGTGGTCAGCCATTACTTGTTTTCCGGTGTCCATACTTTGTCACTCAGACATGTACTTTGAATCATTAATACCTTTATTATTCTGCTGAGTAGGGAACAAGACGGTTCCTGGGCTGGCTGGCCAGTCTAGACAAATAGTGAGCTCCAATTTTTAAGAGACCCTGTCTAAATAAAATAAGGCACAGAGCAATAGAAGAAAACATCCAATGTCAACCTCTGGCTTTTACACACATAAAAAGCTAAGCCGTCGAGTTGAGGACCGTGTTTTCAGTGTCAGTACATAGACCTCTGAAATAAGAAGAGCCGTATGTTCACACTTCTGAAGTTCTGTGACATGGTCACATATGTCATCATATGTGCTCCTTCGCCAGTGCTTAGCCTGCACTCGCCACAGGGAACAGGACATTGTGCACTTGTGTCAGCCTGTACTCCTCAGGGTTAGCAGTGTGAACACAGAAAGGCAAACCTTTGAAAGGAGCTGTGCACATAGTGACAGATTAGCATGAGCCTGAGGCCTGCTGGGACCTTTGGTCGTCCTTCAGCTAAACAACTGTGATGTGATGAAAATTTTGGGAACAACTAGGAAAACTTGAGGGTTTTTTTTGGGGGGGGGTTGTTTGTTTGTTTTGTTTTGAAATAGCATCTCACTATAAAGCCCAGGATGGCCTTGAACTTATAGCCCTTCCATATCAGCCTCTTGAATTATGTGAATGGACATTTTTAATATTAGATGATATTACCATAAGTGTCTTAACTTCTGTAGGCTTATAATGTTCTTTGTGATTAGGTGTTCTTATTCTATTTATTTGGGTTTTTTTTGTTTGTTTGTTTGTTTTTCAGACAGGGTTTCTCTGTGTAGCCCTGGTTGTCCAGGAACTCACTCTGTAGACCAGGCTGGGCTTGAACTCAGAGATTCAGCTGCCTCTGCCTCCTGAGTGCTGGGAATAAATACATACTAAAGATATGAAATACTCAGAATTCAAATCCATGATGCCCGCAGCTTCCCTATGATAGAAAGGGGTGGAGTGGGGGGAGCAGGAAAGCCAGGCATGGTGGCATAAACCTGTGATCGCTGCACCTTGGAGGCTAGAGCAGAAGAACTGGAGTTTTAAGGACAGTCTTGGCTACATCATAAACTGAAGGCCAGCCTGGGCTATGTGACACCTGTCTCAAAAAAAAAAAAAAAAATGGAAAGGGCTAGATGTGATTGTGTATGCCTTTAATCCCAGCACTCGAGAGGTAGAAAATGGCAGACCTAGGTCTCAAAATTAAATAAGTAAATTTTGGTTATATGAGTAATTTAAATTATGGGGAAAGGAGAGTCATGTTTGGTTAGAGGTCTCCCCTGCTAAAGTAACTGCTATGGTTTTGGTTTCGTCTTGCTCCCTGGCAGTTTGTGGGAGACCACTCCTGTGTGAGTAGCGAGGCTGGTGATGGCTGTGGTGGACAGACAGCAGTCCGTCTCCTCCCCTCCCCAGCAGCTCAGTGCATGGGGCAGAGAATCCTGTCGCTGGTGATGGCTGTGGTGGACAGACAGCAGTCCGTCCCCTCCCCAGCAGCCCAGTGCGTGGGGCAGAGAATCTGTCACATGCAGAAGCCTGGAGCCGTAGCCGATGGGGACTCAGCCATTATTACACGGGTGCACACACACCCAGGTTTTGTGTTCCTCTGATATATCATGGTTTCTGCATGGTACTGCCATGCTGTTTAACTGAGCTCCCCTAAAGTGGGGCCCGCAGCTGGGGCTCAGACCTCCTGACATATATGAGTAGCTTTCTGTCTCTGCAGCCTTTTTCTGCTGCTATGGTCATGTATAGACCAGGATCAGACAGTAAATCTGCTGTCATGTGGAGAACGAGCAGAGTTACTGACATCACATCTGGAGACGCCGGGGTAGCAGTGAATTGCCTGTAGAGCTGTTTGGTTTTTAATTTGCATTTGACGGATAGCAGAGGTGAAAATCTCATCATTGTCTGTTCTTGATCACCAGCAATGGCTGAGCAAGAGCGCTTCCTGCTCCACCAGGAGACCCTGCCAGAGCAGCTGCTGACTGAGAGACAGCTGAGTCTTAGCGCGATGCCTGTGTTGACTGCCCCGCAGCTCATCAGTGTGAGTGATGTTCGTGTTTCTGCACTCAACAGGCCTGGGTTTTCTAGACCATACTGTGGAGCCCCCAACAGGATCTTCTTCCTCCTCCTACCTTCCAGAGACCTTTTCCCAAGAAAAACTATTAGATGCAGGGAGAATTAGCAGGGTGCAGCTCCCCTGGCCCTCCAGGTGCAGGTGCTCATTCTAGGAACGAGTAGGAATCGTGGTAGTTGCTTTCTCAGAATAGGAGTGTGCTGTGAGGTAACTGTCCCCCTAGAATGTTACTCTGCAGACTCTTGTTAGCAAAGGTGTGTATGAGGAGCTGAGATGCACAAGCTTCAGGTGCTGCCTTCACCTTTCCCTGACTTCCAGATGATCCAAGGCAAGACAGAGCATCTGGTTGTGTGCACACTGCCTCCTCCTCCTCTCAGGCATTTCATCCTGAGTCTGCTCTAATCGTGGTTAAAGGAAAGTAAGCAGGCCAGAGTCTTGAGTGTAGGCACTGTTAGCCACAGAGCTTCTGAATGGTGCTCTCTTCTGAGAGACTTCCTTGAGAGATCTAAAATGCCAGCTGTAAGCCCAGTCTTTCCTGTGTCGCTGAGACACATTGTCTGTTTAATGCTACTCTCCAGCGTCAAAGGTGGGGGCAAAGGGGTTCGCATAGTATTAGGTTTAAGCCTGTGTGGCCATGAAAACTATGAGATAGGGTATTTGTAAACGATTTTTATATTATTAAAGGATTATATACATTTTTTAATTAAATATGTTCTATTACATATATTATTAGCAGAGGAAGATAGGAAAAACTCATGTTGATGAGATGACAGGATTTTAAGGAACATGTACAGTTATCTGGCATCTAACTCACCAGGGAGACTGGACCACTCAGGAAGTGTTAGTTTGCTTTTACAGTATCGAACATTAGAACTCAGGCAGGTACTCACTAATCCCAGCTGTACGCTAGGTTGTAGTTTTTAGAGCCATTTCAAAGAGTAGCTTTCCAAAAGCCATGGGCCCTCTGAATTTATGTCAGAGATTGTACATGAAGCCTGCTGAAAAGTTTACACTATATTCTTAACCTAAAATTTCTGGCATTTTAAAAAGAATGTATGTCCTGTTATATAAATGAGTTCCTGGTTTAGAATATGTGTTTAGACAAATTGCTCTAAGCAGAGTACAGCTCCCACGTGTGACACTGTTCTTGGCCACAAAACTATGGCAGATTATATCAAAGAAACCCGTGGCTTATTTTCTTCGTAAACCTTTCTGGTTAATCTTCTATCATGGAACTTGTTGCAGCTGTACATATGTGAGGAAAACAGAAGAGCCAATGAATATGATTTTAAGAAAGCCTTGGACTTGCTGGAATATATTGATGAGGTAAGAAATGGCTCTGTCTAGCTGGGCATGGTGGCACACACCTTTAATCCCAGCACTCAGCAGGCAGAGGCAGGCGGATCTTAACCTGGTTAAGAACCTAAGGTTACTTCCCTGTGGCTCTTGGAAGACAGCCAGCCAACCAGACTGTTAGAAAAGCTGACAGCAAACACCAGTTCTAGAGAATCCTTTCACATTTCCAGGTGGCCTTTCTGTGCAAGGGCGGCGGGGGGATTGGGGATGTGTTATCTGTGGAGCTTGCCGGAGTTGGTTTTCTCCTCAACAGGTAGATTCCCAGGAGCAAATTCAGGTCATTTGGCTTTCTGGCAAATGCCCACAGCTGCTGAGCACTGGTCCCTGCAGTGTTTTCTAACGGAGCTTTTCAAAGTCTTCCATAGCCACCTAATGGAAGCTGCCTTTCCGCCTTCAAAGGCCATGAAGCAAGTGCAGTAGGATCAGTGCTTCTGCTCTTTGGCTGTGTGATCAGAAGTTGTTTGGTGGGCTTTAGAGTCATAATGGTAACTTTTTCCGTACTTTATTTTTGTTGTGAGATTTTTTTTTTATGAGTATGAATATTTGCCTGTGTACATTTAAGTGTGTCATGTGTGTGCAATGCTCATAGAGGCCAGAAGAGCGTGTCAGATTCCCTGAAACTGAATTTATACACAGTTGTCACCTGCCATCTGGATGCAGAAACCACATCCACTTCTCTAAGAGCTGTCCATTGCTGTGCCAGCCCTTTGGCCCATTTTGGAATTGGAGAGTGGGGCTGAGACAGGATATTGGTGTGACAGCAATCCTTAATTCAGCCTCCCACCTCCCAGCTGCTAAGCTCACAGGTGTTTTTGTTCTGTGCATGCGTGTTTATGTATGCATGCATACATCTGTGCACATGGGTGTGGAGGTCAGAGGTCAGGAGTTTCCACAGCAGACAGCCTTGAGTATCATCCTCAGAAGCCACTCACTAGGGTTTTCCCCTGTATAGCCCCTTTAATAATCTTTACCTCTTAGTGTTCCTGATGCACTCAAAGTGATCTGAAGTCAGCACAGATATCAGCAGTACTAACACTTTAGAGAAAGTGGCAGGGGACTGGGAGGGGTGTCTCAGTTAAGAACTCTTGCTCCTTTTGCAGAGAACCCAGGTGTGTGCCTAGCACCCACATGGCAGCTTACAACCGTCTGTAACTCCAGTTCTAGAAGATCCTGTGCCCTATTTCTAGCCTCCTTGTGCATCCTGCACACTTGGATGCACTTACATACATACAAGCAGAATATTCATAAACATAAAAAACAAATTCTATAGATGGTGGTGGTGGTCATGAATTAATGCAGAACAACAGTGTTAATTGGGGGTTAATACAATTAAAATTGTACATTTTAAAGCCCAGTTTTAATCAGGCTGTTGTGTTTTGCTGTGAAGGAGGAAGATGTGAGCATCGATGAGCTGAAGCTGGAGATCCTATGCAGAGCCCTGCAGAGAGACGAGTAAGACCTTGCTGGGCTCCGTCCACAGGCAGGAACTGCTCCCATCAGAGCTGTAACTTGGTGCACAGTCGGGCTTATCTGCTTCTGGGTATTTCAGCATGCTTTGAACGTGGTAGTAGTTTCATTGGCAATCTTGCTGTTTTGTTTTGTTCTTTAAAACGGGGTTTCTCTGTATAGCCTTGGCTGTTCTGGCTTTCCTGGAACTCACTCTGTAGACCAGGCTGGCCTCAAACTCACAGAGATCCAACAGCCTCTGGCTCCTGAGTGCTGGGATTAAAGACATGCACCTCCACCTAGCTCTTTTGGGTTTTTGAGACAGGGTTTCTTTGTGTAGTCTTGGAGGCTACAGCACACAGGTAGAGGTCAGAGAACAACGTTCTAGCATCAGTTCTGTCCTCCCACCTACCTTTACCAGGTATCAAACGTGGGTCATCGGACTTGCGTGGCAAGCGTGTTTACCCACTGAGCCATCTTGCTAGCTCTTGTCCTAGCTTCTAGTTTGAGTTTTAGGTTGCCTGTGCCTGTGTACCTTTAGCACCAGGAGGCAGTGCTGTGTGTTCAGGTCCACTCTTCACCTTGTTGCTGTGCATTCATGTTCAGGAAAGAGAATTTGCTGAAAATTGTTTCCTCTACTATGCTGAAACAGGCAGCATTTCAGGGCACCGACTAGATTTGTTACTTGGAGCATTTTCTTCAGAAAGGCGCCTCACACCGGGTATCATGAAACACACCTGTAATTCTAGCACCTGAGAGGCCGAGGCACAAGGGTCAAGAGCTTAGGGCCAGCCTGCACTATACTGCACTACTTAGCGAATGCTATGCACCCCCACTTCCACCCCCAGCGGGGTCGGGAAAGCCTTTTTAAAACTGTGGTTGGTAACGATGGCATGGCATCTGCTGCCAGTGTAGCTTAGGTCACAACAGAGTTAGATGGGCCCCTATTTAAAGCCCATTATTTGGTAACTTGAAGCAGGATCACAGAACTTGACACTCCATCCCACGGCCATCAAGAGAAAACCACAGTAGCAAGCAAAACCCTTTGCCTCAGCAGCCATGTTGATTCTGTTTTCCTCATGATTTTCTCTTCCAGCTGGTCTAGTTCAGACGGCAAAGATGATCCGATCGAAGTCTCTAAAGACAGTGTGTTTGTGAAGATCTTGCAGAAACTTATAAAAGATGGTAAGAGGTTTATATTAACTGTTAGAAATTAAATGTCGCAGCCAGGAGTGCTGGAGCATGTCTTTAATCCCAACTCAGGAGGCAGGTGGATCTCTGAGTCTGAAGCCAGCCTGGTCTAAAAAGGGAGTTCCAAGACTTACACAGAGAAACCTTGTTTCCAAAAGGAACAAAAGAAGGAAGGAAGGACCGATGTTTGTTGGTTTTGGATACCATGGGAATTGGGTGTTGCCAACATTGACATGACACAGAGGGTCAGTGAAACAAGATCGCACATGGGATGAAGCTGGTTCTCAGTGCAGCTGCTTTCCACTCTCTGCACTGGGAGACCAGGGTTAAGGTGCAGTTCTCCACCCGATGACACAGACTCTGGTTCTAACAGGAAAAGTCCCATGGCAGGCAGCTCACAACTGCCTGTAACTCCAGTTCCTTCTGGCCTCCATAATCACGCGCACACACATGGCACAAACATACACACATGAAATAAAAACGAGGGCTGCTGAGCTAGCTCAGCAGGTGAAGACACTTTGACCACACCTGAGTTCCTGAATTCAATCACCGTGACCCATATGGGGAAGGAGACAACCAACTGCCAAAAACTGTCATCTGACCTTCACACGTACACACGCTAGAGAGGTGGTTCATCGGTTAAGAACGTTTGTTCATTCCAGCGTCCACACGGTGACTCACAACTGTCTGTGACTCCAGTCCCAGGGAATCTGAAGTCCTCACCTTTGCAGGCACCAGGCACATATGTGGTGGACCTTCATACTCACAAGCAAAACACTCATACACATAAATGCCTCAATAAATAAATTTTTAAAGGAAATTAATTTAAAAATTAAAAATTGGTGCTGGAGAGATGGTTAAACAGTTAAGAGCGCTTCCTGTTCTTCCAGAGAAGCTGAGTTTGATTCCCAGCACCCACATGGTGGCTCACAACTGTCTGTAATTCCATTTCTAGGGAATAGAACGCCTGACCTGAGGACACAGCACACATGCATACACAGTCTTGCAAGCAGAATGCTCACAAGCATAATTTTCTAAAAGAGAAATTGCAAGATAGATATGCACATCCATCTTAGACATTAAAACTAAAATTCAATTTAGAAATAAAAATAAGAAAATGTTTTCTGCCGTGTGCTTGAGCTTTTGGGTTCAAGGGGTCCTCTCCCCAGCCTCCTGTGTGCTGTGACAGGACAGGCGCCTAGGTTAAACTGACACCTTTACAGTGTTGTGGCTAGCTCCTGACAGTATTTCTGTTACCTTATCCCCACATAGGGCAACACAGAAATGACTGCTAGTTGAAAACTTTCATATTGAAGGAATGTCTTGTGGTTTTTTGAGACAGGGCTTCTCTGTGTAGCTCTGACTAGATCTAGGTCCTGGAACTAGATCTAGCTCTGTTGCCAGGATGGCCTCAAACTCAGAGATCTGCCTGCGTCTGTCTTTGAGTGCTGAGTGCTGGGGTTAAAGGTGTCTTAAACTGTAGAAAATGAAAATTGCAGATTCTACTACAGACCTCACCTGGAGTGGCTGCTTTTCCCAGTCAAAGCCTGCAGGTGGCTCTGAAGAGGCCATTGTCAGACAGAGGGCACGGTGACTGGGAGGAGGCTCCAGTGTGGGGCACCACCAGCCTCTCATTCCCTGGGCAGTGACTGTGTCTTCTGTTTGCAGGCATCCAGCTCAGCGAATACTTGCCAGAGGTGAAGGACCTACTTCAGGCAGAGCAGCTGGGAAACCTGAAGTCCAACCCTTACTTTGAGTTTGTTCTAAAAGCAAATTATGAATATTATGTCCAGGGACAGATGTGACATTTGTAAAAATGGTTGTTTCTAAAATTTGTATAAATGTTTGCTTATAAAAATTTGAGTCTAAAATAACTAGGTTTTAATCAACTTGACGTTTATATAGTTTCATCTGTGGCAGCAAGGTTTTTTCATGCTTATTTGGTATAATACAAAATTGGGGCATAACCCTAATTTTCTTTCAGTTGTAAGGTATTTTCTTCTCATTTTCCACTTGAAGTCACCCTTGTTTCTGTGTGGCTGCCCTTTCTTCAGCCTTCCTTGGTCCAAGGAGGCAGGCAGTTTCTCTCTGGCCCTGTCTCCTGTGTACAGTATACCTGTTCTGAGGATTGGTTTTTCTTTTCTCTTTCTTTTTTTTTTTTTAATTGATTTTTATTGAGCGCTACATTTTTTTCTGCTCCCCTCCCTGCCTTTCCCCTCCCCTTCAACCCTCTCCCAAGGTCTCCATGCTCCCAATTTACTCAGGAGATCTTGTCTTTTTCTACTTCCCATGTAGATTAGATCTATGTATGTCTCTCTTTAGGGTCCTCATTGTTGCCTAGGTTCTCTGGGATTGTGATTTGTAGGCTGGTTTTCTTGGCTTTGTGTTTTGAAATCATTTATTAGTGAGTACATGTGATAATGGTCTTTCTGGGTCTGGGCTACCTCACTCAAAATAATGTTTTCTAGCTCCATCCGTTTGCCTGCTAATTTCAAGCTGTCGTTATTTTTTTCTGCTGTGTAGTACTCCATTGCATAAATGTACCACATTTTCCTTATCCATTTTTCAGTCGAGGGGCATTTAGGTTGTTTCCAAGGTCTGTGTCAAAAATCAGGTGTTCGAAAGGGTGTGGATTATATATCCGGGTCTTCCATTCAGTTCCATTGGTCCTCCTGTCTGTTTTTATGCCAATACCAGGCTGTTTTCAGTACTGTAGCTCTGTAGTAGAGTTTGAAGTCAGGGATTGTGATGCCTCCATAAATTCTTTTATTGTATAGGATTGTTTTGGCTATCCTGGGTTTTTTGCTTTTCAATATGAAGTTGAGTGCCGTTCTTTCGAGGTCTGTGAAGAATTTTGCTGGGATTTTGATGGGCATTGCATTGAATCTGTAGGTTGCTTTTGGTACAATTGCCATTTTTACTATGTTGATTCTGCCTACCACAAAGCATCTTTGTGGAAGATCTTTCCACTTTCTGGTGTCTTCTTCAATTTCTTTCTTCAAAGATTTAAAGTTCTTGTCATACAAGTCTCCCACTTGTTTGGTTAGAGTTACTCCGAGATATTTTATGCTATTTGTAGCTATTGTGAAGGGTGATGTTTCTCTGATTTCTTTTTTAGCCCATTTATCATCTGTGTACAGGAGGGCCACTGATTTTTTTTTTTTTTTTTTGGTTTTTCTAGACAGGGTTTCTCTGTAGCTTTGGTGCCTGTCCTGGAACTAGCTCTTGTAGACCAGGCTGGCCTCGAACTCCCAGAGATCCGCCTGCCTCTGCCTCCTGAGTGCTGGGATTAAAGGCGTGCACCACCACCGCCCGGCATTGATTTTTTTTTTTTTAAGTTAATCTTGTATCCTGCTACATTGCTGAAAGTGTTTATGAGCTGTAGAAGTTCCTTGGTAGAATTTTTGGGGTCTCTTATGTAAACTATCATATCATCAGCAAACAGTGAGAGTTTGACTTCTCCTTTTCTGATATGTACCCCCTTGATCTCCTTTGATGTCTTATTGCTCTAGCTAGGATCTCAAGAACTATATTGAATAGATATGGAGAGAGTGGACAACCTTGTTTTTTCAGTGGGATTGCTGTGAGTTTCTCTCCATTTAACATGTTGGCTGTTGGCTTGCTGTATATTGTCTTTATTGTGCTTTGGTATGTTCCTTGTATCCCTGCTTTCTCTGAGACCTTTATCGTGAAGGGATGTTGTATTTTGTTGAAAGCTTTTTCAGCATCTAATGAGATGATCATGTGGTTTTTATTTTTCATTTTGTTTTTATGATGGATTACATTGACAGATTTTTGTATGTTGAAACATCCCTGCATCTGTGGGATGAAGCCAATTTGGTCATGGTGGATGATGGTTCTGATGTGTTCTTGGATTCAATTTGCCAGTGTTTTATTTAGTATTTTTGCATCAATGTTCATGAGTGAGATTGGTCTATATCTCTTTCTTAGTAATGTCTTTCTGTGGTTTGGGTATCAGGGTAAATGTAGCCTCATAAAAAGAGTGTGGCAATGTTCCTTCTGTTTCTATTGTGTGGAATAATTTGAGGAGTATTGGTATTAGTTCTTCTTTGAAAATCTTGTAGAATTTTGAGCTGAAACTATCTGATCCTGGGTCTTTTTTGGTTGGGAAACTTTTGATGACTGTTTCTATTTCTTCAGCAGTTATAGGTCTATTTAATTTGCTTATCTGGTCTTGATTTAATTTTGGTAAGTGATATTTATCCAGAAAGTTGTACATTTCCTTCAAGTTTTCCAATTTTGAGTATATACATATATACAGTTTCTACATATACATGTGTGTTTTATACAGTATATACATATATAAAACAAACATTTTTAAGTTGTTTTTATTGAGCTATGTATTTTTCTCCACTCCCCTCTTTTCCTCTCCCCTTCTGCCCTCTCCCATGGTCCCCATGCTCTCAATTTACTCAGGAGATCTTATCTTTTTCTACTTTCCATGTAGATTAGATCCATGTATGTCTCTTTTAGGGTCCTCTTTGTTGGCTAGGTTCTCTGGGATTGTATATTGTAGGCTGTTTTTTCTTTGCTTTATGTCTAAAAGCCACTTATGAGTGAGTAACAAGCTTCTTCTAAGATAAGATCTGGTATGCGGCTCTGGCTGGCCTCAGACTCTCTCGTGCCACAGCCTCCCAGGTGCTGCACCGTTAGTCTTGGCCAGAACATTTTTTTAAAGGCATGTCACTTTTTCTTCATGTGAAGAAAATACACACAAGTAACTGTTTAACCAGAAAGCCTTGGGTTCCTGTTTCTATGGGCCTGGTGTGCCGGACCACCTTTTGTTTCTTACAAGGTGTGGTGGGTACTTTGCACACAGTGACTCTGTTCTCAGCAAAGCCTTGCCAAAAGTTTTTCCTCGCCTGCTAGGTCTAGGTCCCTTGTACAGATCCGCATTTTGATGTGCCGTGGCCTTAATAAAAACAAGGGGTGTTTTACTCCATAGGGGCCAGTTTCTGGGGCCAGCATACGGTTCAGCCGGCAAGCACAGCAAACCTAGAAGCCTGAGCTCAGCCTCCAGAATCTCCATGAAGGTGGAAGGAGAAAACCAACTCTGCAGAACTATCCTCTGACCTCTCGTGTGCACCTCCGTAGGGCTCTGGTTCTAGGCTGCAAGGGTAGAAGGGTAGAGCTTCCCTGGCTGCTGCCATTGCAGTGTTGCCTGCCTGCTCTCTGTCCGTTTGCCTCTTGGTGTGAGACGGGAAGGGGCAAAGTGGAGAAAAGCGTGAACGTACAGCCCTGCCCAAAGCATCTGGGAGGCCAGCAGGAAGATGGTGAGTTTGAGTCTAGCCAGGATTCCAGGGAGAGCCATTGTGAGGCAAGGAAGGGGCGGTGCCGCTGAGGTCAGAGTGCATCTGCCCCTGCGCTGCTGTGCTGGGTGTGGTGTGGTGGGTTTCCTGGAGTTTGCAGGCACTTGGTCAAGGTTGACTTTGGATGTGCTGATACCGTGCTGAGCAGAGAAAACTTTGTAGTGGGATAAGTAAGTGAGCACTTGCTGGAATCCGGGGCAGTACATACAGCCCAGCCCCTCCGATGTCCAGGAATGGTATCAGCACTTTTTTCCCTATGCTCAGAGCCCAAATAAACGACTCCCCAAAGCTGGACATAGTGTGCCTTTGCTGCGTGTTTCTTTCTAATAGTTCTGTTGCCCCAGCATGGGGTAAAGACAAAGCCACAGAGCTAATAGTGGCCCTGTTAGGCTGTGCAGTCCACAGTTTAGGGAGAGCTGTGGGGGAGTCTGGAGGAAGCTCAGCAGGCCTCTGTCCTCAGCGTCTGCACCTGTCCCAGCTGCTGAGCTGGTCTCCACTCCAAATGTGAACAGCTATTTTGGGAACTCTCAAGCCATCAGAAAAGTGAGCGGCTCCATGGTGGCTTGGCTCCGGCGCACCCCCAAAATATGTGGTTGGCCACATAACGCTTTCTTGGGCTTTCTGTTCCTCCCTGCCCAAATTGAGACAAGCGCCAAGAGACCTCTGCTCACCCCCACCCCACCTTCCTTAAGTAGCTCCTAGAAACCCCAAGGCCGATCCTCATCTATCAGCGGTATAAATAGAACCCACACAGGCCTGGCAGGTGGTGTCTCCAAGGTGGATGGGAAGCAGCCTTGTTGACAGGCATCATCCTCTAAATATAAAGATGAGTCTGCCTGGGAGAAGCCACTCCTGGGCTCCCGTGTAAAGTCTTGGTGCTCCTTAGGACATCCGTCACCACCTCTCTCCCTTCTTTCAAACCTGGGGAGGGACACATTGCCACCAAGGGGTAATATCTGCTCAACCCAGTCAACTAAATGAGAGTTGGGAGTTAGGGACCCACACACACACTCTGACCCCTCTATTCCTTTCAAGAGAATACTGCAGAATGTAGGGGACAGCTCTAGTGCCCTGGACTCACATGCCTTGTGCCAGGGCCACATAACCCCCATGCCTCCTCTCGCTGCCACCTCCCCCCTCTCCCAACAGTTGTCCGCCCTGTGACAGCTGCATGTCCTACACTGACTGACAGTCTGGGGGCAGGGGGGCTAGGGAGGAAGATGTGGGTCAGACCTATGATTTGGGGGGCTTCGAAGTGGGAAAGAAAATGGAATTCAAATGTGGGACTCATTTTTCCATCCCTACCTGGGGCCTGTGACCCCTCCCAGCTCACCTGACCACAGGGCTCCCTCCTTTGGGCTTAAGCATCAGAGCTTGGTAGCCTGAGTTAACCCATACATGGGGTGTAACGTGTCAAGTCAGGAATCCGGTACCTTCTCAGCAGCTTGTGTGCCCGGGGTGGGCAGAGCTGGGGGGACCTTTGAAACAGGTAGTTTGGGAAGTGAAGACCAGTCATCTGCAAAAACAGTGACCTTTGGCCCAGCCCATCTCCACAGTGAGCACTGGAGGCAGTTGGGAGGGGCAGACAGCTGGGGATACTCTCCATATATGGCCCGGTCCGGTCCTAGCTACCTGGGCCAGGGCCAGTCCTCTCCTTCTTTGGTCAGTGCAGAAGACCCAGGCGGGGACCTAGGCTGAGAACCAGCCGAAGGAAGGGCTCTAGTGCCCGACACCCAAATATGGCTTGGGAAGGGCAGCAACATTCCTTCGGGGCGGTGTGGTGAGAGCGCCGAGGACTATATAAAACCTGAGCTAAGGAACAGACGGCCACACGGACGTGAAGCCTCACATCCCACCCTCGGCACCCAGGGCCAGAGTCAGCAGCAGGTAGGGTTGGGGGGGGCACCCGGAGGACCTAGCAGAGCTAGCTCATTAGCCTTGGGCCTGTAGTTAGCACTGCGCTCTGCCCTAGAGGCAGGCAGTTAAAGAGGAAATTTGGCTCTGCAAATTTCTCCAAACTCACCTGCAGTTCATTTGAGCTGTTGACTTGGCATTTAGGATACGCCTGAGCTCTGAGAGCTACCCACCACCATCCCCATATTCTCCGCGCCCCCCCCCCCTCACTGAGGACTAAATCCAGGTCCTCCTGCAAGTGAGCAAGCCAGTGCTCTCCTACTGAGCCACACACCAGCCCCTGGCTGGTTGAAATATTTTTTTTTAATTTTTTTTTTTTTATGAGAGAGGGTTTCTTTGTAGCTTTGAAACCTGTCCTGACACTAGCTCTATAGACCAGGCTGGCCTCAAATACACAGAGATCCGCCTGCCTCTGCCTCCCGAGTGCTGGGATTAAAGGCATGCACCACCGCCGCCCGGCTGGTTGAAATTTTTTTTTTTTTTTGTCCCCTTCTTTCATCCCCTCCTTCTTTCTCTCCCTTTCTATGCTGGGACCAAATTTGAGCCCTCTCTCATAGAGCTACTGGCCCTGCTTGACTGATTTGAAGATGTGTTTGAAGATTCAGCCTTGTCTTAGCCGTGGGGCAACTTCCTCAGCCCAAGGCTTTTATTCTTTTCTTTTTTCTCTTCCCCCCCCCCCCTCGAGACAGGGTTTTGTGGTAGTTTTAGAGCCTGTCCTGGAACTAGCTCTTGTAGACCAGGTCTGCCTCCCAAGTGCGAGTGCCACCACTGCCCAGCTAGCCCAAGGCTTTTCTAAAATCAGCACGGCCAAGCTAATCGCTGGAATAGGAGACAGGCAGAAGTGTCTTTTCTGAGTTTGGGATGTTGTGGGTGTTCAAACCGGCAACTTCCCCTTAGGACAGTATTACCCTTCCCTGGGCAGCATCCTCCACCGTCTCACAGGACAGGCAGGTGGGCAGCGGAACTTAATGCCTCCTTCACGGATGACATTGGGAAGTAGAGAGGATAGCATTAGTGCCAGTGGTGGGGTAGAGCCAGGGGGTCTTGGGTCTTCAGAGGATGTCCGCTGCATACCTAGTTGGAGGATTTAGTGTGGTCCACAGACTGCCTCCCTTAGCAGAAGCACAGTTTTGAGCTGGGACAGCATCCTCTGGCCTTCGGCAAGGGGCTGGCAGAAAGGAGCCTCTGGATCTCCAGAGGAAAGGTGGGTTGGGTGGGAGCTTCACCCTAAGCCACGCCACAGGCACACTAATGCTCAACACCGCTATGGCCTTGTCCTTGCAGAAACTAGACACCATGTGCGACGAAGACGAGACCACCGCCCTCGTGTGTGACAACGGCTCTGGCCTGGTGAAAGCCGGCTTTGCCGGGGATGACGCCCCCAGGGCTGTGTTCCCATCCATTGTGGGCCGCCCCCGACACCAGGTCAGTCTGCTGCCAGGGAAAGATAGGTTCACTGAGTACAGCCCATGCTTCCCGCCCCCCCATCTGTAGTAACAAGTGTCTGATGTCTCCACCTACAGGGTGTCATGGTGGGTATGGGTCAGAAGGACTCCTACGTGGGCGACGAGGCCCAGAGCAAGCGAGGCATCCTGACCCTGAAGTACCCCATCGAGCACGGCATCATCACCAACTGGGACGACATGGAGAAGATCTGGCACCACACCTTCTACAACGAGCTCCGCGTGGCCCCTGAGGAGCACCCGACCCTGCTCACCGAGGCCCCCTTGAACCCCAAAGCTAACCGTGAGAAGATGACCCAAATCATGTTTGAGACCTTCAACGTGCCTGCCATGTACGTGGCCATCCAGGCGGTGCTGTCTCTCTATGCCTCTGGCCGTACCACCGGTAAGTGCCCATACATGGCCCACTCTGGGTCAGGTAGTGTCCCAACATCCCAGCCCAGCTTCTTAGTTCTGTGCCCTGCACCGGCCCCATCCAATCCCTGATGTTCCCTGCCCTCTCAGCAGCGCTGTTACGGCCCTGCCCTTCCTGCCGTCCCTTCCGCTCACGCACTGCCCCTTCCCTGCAGGCATTGTGTTGGATTCTGGGGACGGTGTCACCCACAATGTGCCCATCTATGAGGGCTATGCCCTGCCACACGCCATCATGCGTCTGGACCTGGCCGGACGTGACCTTACTGACTACCTGATGAAGATTCTCACCGAGCGTGGCTATTCCTTCGTGACCACAGGTGCGTACTTTCAACCGCGGAGGGCGGGCCGCTGAGGGCGAGCATGCGCCCCGGGCCTTGTCCTGAGACCTTCCTTTTGCTTCTGCCCCTACAGCTGAGCGTGAGATCGTGCGCGACATCAAAGAGAAGCTGTGCTATGTGGCCCTGGACTTCGAGAATGAGATGGCCACCGCTGCCTCCTCCTCATCCCTGGAGAAGAGCTACGAGCTGCCCGACGGGCAGGTCATCACCATTGGCAATGAACGGTTCCGTTGCCCGGAGACGCTTTTCCAGCCCTCCTTCATCGGTGAGCCGCCCGCCCGTTAGGCTGGTGTACCGGGATCTGTCTCCTTCCCCCCACGCCTCAGCGTACCGGGTCTCGACCCGGTGCCCTTAGTCCCCTGACTCTGTGGTTGCTCACACTGCCTCTTCCCGGGCACCAGGCATGGAATCCGCCGGGATCCACGAGACCACCTACAACAGCATTATGAAGTGCGACATTGACATCAGGAAGGACCTGTACGCCAACAACGTCATGTCAGGGGGCACCACCATGTACCCTGGTATTGCTGACCGCATGCAGAAGGAAATCACAGCTCTGGCTCCCAGCACCATGAAGATCAAGGTGGGTGAAGTGGCTAGTGTGGGCGGAGACCAGGGGGCGGTGGGAACGTGCAGTCACCTGATTCTCTTGTCTTACAGATCATCGCCCCCCCTGAGCGTAAGTACTCAGTGTGGATCGGCGGCTCCATCCTGGCCTCGCTGTCCACCTTCCAGCAGATGTGGATCACCAAGCAGGAGTACGACGAGGCCGGCCCATCCATTGTGCACCGCAAATGCTTCTAGGCATCCCCTCATCTGTGTACACTCTCTCTCCTCAGGACGACAGTCGTGCTGCGGTTGTAGGGCGGCCCCATCCTCCGCCAGGGCTCCGTCTCCGCCACTGCGGCCAGCACCTGTTTTTGACCTGTACATAGATTGACACGTTTTACCTCGTTTTGTTATTTTTCAAACAAAACCCTGTGAACGGAAATGGAAAACTTGAAGCATTAAAGCCAGCCATTCTGTTTTGCTGCAATAAAGCCTGTGTTGTCTTTATTTATGGGGGAGGGGGGTAAGGGGATGGGCAGGAGAAAGACCCACAGCCTGTCATTTTTCACAGAGCTCCAACGGGGTGCGCTCCTTAGGAAACAAAGTTAGGAAGTTA